GGCGTGAACCACCATGCCACTGGCTGGCTCCTTTCCATTTATTTGTATGCACTCGGGTATTTGGTAACCAAGTTCTTCCCCTTTCTATTGTGTTTCCGGTATTCACCATTACACTACCTACTTCTCACCCATCAACTGTTCCCACCAGAGGAGAGCTAACAATACCGCAGCCTGTGACCAGCCAGGGAGGCCTGCTACACTTGGGATTTCCCAAGCTTCCTGGTGGTTGAAGGGTACAGTCTGGGTTGAGCTCCTGAGACACTGAAAGTCCAGGAAAGAATAGTACTAACCTTGCAGGAAATCTCAGTTTTTATCATCTTAGCCTGATCATCTCTCCTGAAACACAGATTCCCCAATTAGCCAGAAAAACACTTTCTTGTGACAAAACTAGAGAGGGACATGGCAGGAAGGAGGGGTGTGAACACACTCTCCTTTATATTCCCCACCAGATTCAAAGCATTTCTCTGCTTCTGCCAAAAACACTGTTCTGTTTGGCCTCTAGGCCCAGTGGCTGGGATTTTCAGGCCTATTTAGAGAACCAGCCTGTCTGAAAGGCTCCATAAACAGAGCTCTTTTCTGAACCCCTGGGGCCCAAGGCCTACTCCAGTGAGGAGCTCCTCAGGAACTCCTAGCACCGTCTCTCCATTTGGGGTACTCTGGCCGCTACATTGTGTTTGTGTGTCTGCTCCCTCACTGGATGGGAGCATCTTTGGATTTAGTTCTATTTATCCTTGAACCCCTAAGTCCCCTCCTTTTCTTACCATTTTTAAACTATGCTCCCTTTTCATACACACAAAAAACACGCACTATCCCTTCATGTTATTTGACATTTCTGGTAATAATAGCCACTTTCTATGTGCCGCACACTGTTTTATATACACTCTGCTTGCTGATAACTGTTAACTATTACAACCAAACAAATTAAAGCTGCTGTAATACTGAATGTGAATTTTCGGGCTGTGCTGTCTGCCCCCTGCTCTGGAGAACCACAGGCCAAGCGGTACTTAACAGAGGTACTTAACAATTACTTGCTGAATAAGAAATGAAAAGCTGGATCAGCCCTGCAGTGCAGTGCATAAGTGCTGCACATAGGGAGCAGGATCCCACATGATTCTCACGGTTTGAATCCCTGCCCTGGCAGCTAGAATATAAACTGGGCATGTGTGCTTGCATGCCCCAAATCCCAAAGACATGCAGAAATAGAGGAAAGGGGACTGTGGTAGGACCACATCACATCAAACGGTTCTCTATCTCAAAAAAAAAAAAAAAGAAGATTCTCTCTCTCTCTTTTCCACAAGTACACACTTACTTGCTCTGGCAATTAAAAAAAAAAAAGGAGGGAACCAGCAGTTAGCATAATGGCTATGTCGCTGGACTCCCACGTAGTTGACCGTGGTTCGTGTCCCGGACCCGGTGGCTTAAAACTCACGCCGGGCGTGTGTGCGTGCATGCCCAAGATCCCAAGAGGAGAATGGAGGAGAAGGGATTGCGGCGTGACCATCCCCCCTGGGGGGTGATTTCTCGCTTTCTATC